TTGTGAACTGTGATATATAGTCAAGGTGTCGGACTTCTCGAGGTGAGTGTTTATCGGCTCTCGCTTTTAGTGTATTCGTTAGTGGTTTTTGATTCGTAAAGATTATAGATTACCTGCCTTCTAAAATGTGTCGGAAGTGTTTAATGTTCAGGTAGATTGCAAGAAGTTCTTGCCCGAAGGTAGAATACCTTGTCTCAGCTGGAACAAGAAGAAAGGAATTGGTTTCCAGGCGTTTTTAACTAGTTGGTTAATGGGTACCCCCTACTACTTTATCTGAAGCATCCACCATCAAAGCAAGTGGGGAAAGAGAATTCTGATACATCAACGTAGTTGCTTAAGCCAGTTTATCTTTAAGATGTTTAATAGCTTCGATGGCGTCAGAAGACAGTTTGAATTCTTTTGGTTTTCCTTTAAGTGAATCTGTCAAAGGTTGCATTAATTGTGCACAACCTGGTATGAATCTGCGATAAAAGTTAATTAGACCTAGGAAACTTCTCAGTTGTATTAGAGAACTAGGTATGGGGTATTGTTTGATGGTATCCACTTCTTTTTTGATAGGTTTAATCCCTTCTGGGCTTATTGTGTGACCGAGAAATTCTAAAGTTTGAACACCGAAAACACACTCACTTTGATGTTTGTTCATTCGATGTTCATTCAGTCTTTCTAACACTGTTTGTACATGCTGTTCGTGTGATTGTAAATCGGGGTTGGCAATTAACAAATCGTCTATATACCCCTGTGCAAATGGCATATCTCGAAGTGGGTTATCTATGAATCATTGTAATGTCTGTACCGCATTTCTCAAGCCGAATGGCATGCGTACAGACTCGAATAAGCCAAAGGGTGTTGTAATAGCTGTCTTGGGGATATCTTCATCAGCCACTGGGGTATTGTGATATGCCCTGACTAATTCAATTTTAGTGAATATGTTCCTGCCCTGTAAAGCGTTTGTGAAATCCGGAGTTTCTGTCTCTAACATAAAACAAGAGACTATTTAGGCGCCCCTCCTCAGTCGTCGCGACCTGGGGAGGGGTTACCCGTTTCCCGCTGTCTTGGAATTATGCTTAGGCCAGGCGCATTGTTGCATGCACTTGGTTGAGTTGACGCCAAACTTCCAGTGGTACCAACAAAACTGCCCAAATTGTCTGGACATTTGTGACCTGTTTTGTGACTTGGATCGTGGTCGTTGTGGTGACCTGCTCCTGTTTCTATGACCCATTTGCATTCTGGTGACAGCCTCAGTGAGACTCTTAACACTCGCAATGAGTCCTTCTATTACGGGGTCTTTTGCTGATTCTACTTTTTGTGTGTTATTTATTGTGCCTGATCCAGTTGGAGGGCCTCTTTCCATTATTCTATCAGCTATACGCGCTAAATGAGATAGTGACGTTTTAGGATCTTGTGCATACAAACAGTGTTGGACGTAGCATGGGAGAGCTTGTATCCATCATTGTTTTAGGACTGCTATTATCACCCACTAAGTCTTGAAGGGGACGTAAAAACTTTGACGGCGACCTATCACCTAGTGTTTCTCCTTGGAAAAGTCTTTGGATTCTTTGACTGTCTGATAATGATAAACGGTTCATTATCTCTCGTCTTAAGATGGTGTATGGTTGTGGTGATGGTGGACTTAAAGTCAAATCACGGACTTCTTTGGCGACTGAAGGAGGAAGGACAGAACACAAATCTCTATAGCGAATCCCTTCAGATTTGATATAGTGTCTCGTGAAATAATGCTCTAGTTGAGCAAACCACAACTCAGGATCACTACGATCAAATTCTGGAAGTCGGGTTTTCGTTGTCATAACAGTGTCTATCTCCACTGGTGACAAATCCTCCAGATTATGGGTTTCTATTGAGTCTGACATGAGGTACGTGACAAATATAGCAATAAAATTAGCACGAAAAAATGGTTACTATAACACGAATAACTGAAGATAATAAAAAATAGACTATTTATATACCCAACTTAGTTTACGGTTAATCAGGTCTACTTTTACGATTGAGTAAAAAAATAATGTTAATAACAGAAATGAAGTTAAATTTTGTGTTCAAAAGGACTCACCAGTCTCGTGCCTTAAGGTAACCCTCGTTCTATTGATAGAAGAAACCAGACAAATAGTGAATAGGTCTTTATTTCGATCTTAGCACAGTCACACTGGAGCGTGGGATTATTTGTTCAGACAAACAAAGCCTCCCAACATTCAATATAAGATAATAGGAAATATGACGCCTATGCAGAATAAGGAAGTGAATGAATACTTGAACTGTACTGTTTTGGCATATGCTTAGTTGTTTGAGGTCAACTCTTAACCAACCAACCTAAGTTGTTATAACTATGCCTCCGCCCATTTTTCCGACCGGGTTTGTTAATGGTTTCATCAGTTTTATCAATCATATCACGCTTTCGTCAAGTCATGCGGCAACGAACGAGAACAAATGCGGGGACGACCAGTGTGTTTTAGTACCGGATCACAGAATCTCTTGGCAAAGTATGAGGATCATATATTGAATACTTCGTTTGCGAAATTCCACCATTTTTCCTTCACATTCTGCATGATTCTCCCAAGTCACAATTCCTTTCTATTTCCACTTCTATTTTCTCTTCAACTTGATCTTCTCAATCTGCCGTCAGGGTTTTCACTTCCGATTTATGTTACATACTACCTATATCTGTCGAAATAAGGATCACACACCACAGTGATTCTGCTGTATGACAATATCCAGAAACCTTTAGGAATAACTATTTATCATGTTCGTTGAAGATAAGCTAATAAGAATTCTGTATTATTGTTTTAGGTGATTCCGAAATACCAGTAGCCCGTGGCATAAACCGATCCGATCTACCTTATTATATCTTATGTTGCGATTTAGAAATATTTGTTCACCTGATGTTAGTTCCAGTGATAGGCTCTAGATCCTTCATTTTAAACGGCTGCTTGTTTAACAACCACGTGATGGTTTAGTTATTATACCAGTGAAGTACGATAATATTTTAATGCGGTGAATTCGCTATACTAAGTTAAACGTCTTTTTAGGCGACTAATACGATCTACCAATTTATAAACTAGAGTACGCGTAGCAATAGCGGTTATGATGGGTTTGGTAGAAAATGTTGGGGGTGGTTCAAATGGCAGAAAGATGATAGAATACAACGCGTTTGGTTAGGATCCAATACCACTACACTGTAATTGCTTTGTTGTTACTGTTTTCTCTCCTGCCATCCATACATTGCAGTTTAATTTCCATCGCCGGTGTTCATGAAGCATTTGGTAAACTTTTAGGTGGATATACTGACAATTAACCTCTAATGTTCCCTTTAAGCTGTTGCCGATATTCCCGTCTTGACTACCATCGTCAAAGTTATACAGTTCCCATAAGTGTTGTGATGGGAGGGGTGAGAACGGATGTCTTCGATGTTGTTAATAAAGTCTTGGATTGAACTTTCATTAGTTTGTTTGGGAATCCTTCCCCACACCCGGACACACGTACGACGGCTTTATGTATGAGGACTTGGTTGGGTCCGTTTCAAAACAACAGTGGGTCCAACTACCTCATCAGTTGCATCCGAATACTCAGTCGCTCGTTGTGATAGAAGGAAAGGATGTTTTGTAGACATTGCTGTTGTATCGTTTTCTCTCGGCCAAGAATTCGGTTCCTTCAAGGGTCTAGCTCTGGGGCGTGTCACACATCCGCTCTTTCGTTGCTTACATGTGGCACTAAGGAAAGGAGTCACGAGATACACATTGCCTAATAATATACCCTCATACGTTACTTCAGTCGTGTGACTGGTACTATGGATACTACTACGTGATGCGTCCTCTAGTCTCGGTTTAATGAGTTTCTCAACCTTTTGTTATATATTGGTATCCCTAGCTTATTATTAACCGCTGGAGTAGGATATCGACCACTCGTCATTGTTGCTATAATGTACGAGATGGCGGATTTGCTGATACCTTGCACAGTAATCAACAATTAATGGGTATAGACGCCGAGGGATAATGCTTAGAAAGGGTAGACAAATACAAACTGATGGAACAGGAAAGTCTAGGAAACACTTAAATCACAGACATTAACCAAGATTTTCCCACAAAGTACTTTCATGCAGATTTGACAAATGCTTATCACCTCCTGCGTTTGCAGATTAGTAAGTGAAAATAGCAGCTTCAATATCTAATGATAACGTAGTTGATCAAGACCGTTAGGTTTGCCATAAGACGGTTTAGCTTCAGTGTGACGTTGATTGTCACAAAGTTTAAGGCTCAGTTTTATTTCATGAGTCTTTGAACCGTGAGGGCAGTTAAAGTAATGTCTTAGGAAGCAACAAACTGATCTATATCAGACACATAGTTTTGCTATGTCTTAACTTTGCACCTATGTAAGTAACACTTTGTGGTGGACGTCGAGTCGCGATTGACTATGATCACCACTACAGGGAGATAACGTACCAGATATTAGATTTGATCTTTTTGTAGACCAAAAGGCAAGTGACTATCGTAATAGAATATATTTGTTGGCAATCTCGTTGTATCGAAATAATACCGATATCGTACATAGTAGTACGAGCGGGACTATGTAGCGAAAACGAAAGTGTGCGAGGTCACGGTTAACGGAAGAAAGTATGGCTTTAGTACAGTTAAACAAACAAGGACAGTAAAACAATCACTGGTACAAGTGGTTATAACAATAATTGTTCCCATTAAACCAATCGCGTTCTCTACATAAAAGTAGGTCATTACAATCTATTCATCTATCACAGCTTTTTTGTCACTGATATGGAGAGACTTGTGTATAATGATAAACTGACGCTTGGAAGGTCCAAAACTCTATATGTATTGAATGAAAGCATATTACCACAATTTCACTATTGAATTAGTAGGTTAGTGTGAAAGACACCTTATCTTTGTTTTTGTCAGCTATTATCAAAGCTGTAGTCGAATATATTTAGCGCTAGTTATGAGAATATTGGTGTTTTCCGTCCTTTGCTAGCTGAAATATTTCAGAACTTTTTAGTCAGAACAGTGAGTGGACTAAAGATTATGTTTAGTGTCGGAAAGGCGTAACCATTAAGTAGTTAGTTTCTTTGCCGTGTCATAATTAGCATATCATTGGAGCAAATCATAGTTATCGACTTTCCAGTGGTGGGTCTTACAAGTTACGCAGTGATTTTGATACTTCTTGTGAACTCAAACGCCACTTAATAGTTTTATCACTTTTAAGTTGACTAGATTGCTAAAGTTGTTTCAACAACCTAGCCAACGTTAGTTAATTTACTTTAGTGGTTGATAGATTACTGTACGAAGTTCAGTTTGCTAACTAACAGATGGATAAGTTAATTTCTGTACTGCTGTTGGTGTTAATACCAACAGCAAAGTTTGCTGTGTCACTACACTAATTCATTTTAAATGATGGGCAAATATGGTAGAATAGGTCCTTAGAATACGTACTCATATAGTTTGACAGCTTCTGGTCGTTTATTAGCAAGAACTAGATTTTTTTTATGCTTACTTCCACGCACTTTCATCGGATGGGAGAAAACCCTTGACTGATTTTCTGTATTTTAGATGATGCTCCTCTCTGTATATATCTGTTTACTGTATGTGCGTTTGCTCGCAGGATTTTTGGACGATTTGTGTGTTAACCATGGACCTCAAATCAATATACATAAGAAAGTCTCGTACTAGACGTTGCTCCTACCAAACGTTTCAATTTTCGTTATGCAGTATTATGGTCGAGGCTGATACTAACCTGTAAAGCTAATTATCTATCTAAACTTTTTACTGATGACTTAATTGCGTTTTGATCATCTGTGATTGCGTTTAGTCATATACCATGCGCAGACCGACTGCAGTGTAAAGCAAACTGAATTTCGTATTCTCAACTATTATGCATGATTTCTGTATATTATCCTCGTAAAATCGCTGTTATTTTGACTTTTCATTTATGTTTCGTCTCATGCTTCGAGTAAAAGTTGAATACCTGTGCCATCTTCAAAGGTGTTTTGTTAACAATGCCAATAAAGTATAAAATATTTTAAGTGGTTTTTTCCATAGCATTTTGCTTATTATTGAGTTTGTGTTTTATGTCGTGTAGATTATACCTGCCAGTGAGATTTATTTGATTACCATTCAGTTCGATACCTCCCAGGATTTTGCGCCGAATTCATTATGGAGGAAGGGTAGGTAATCATTGATTTTTTAATTTTTTACAGTTGTTACAATTAGCTATTTAGAACAGCATTTATAAGGGAACAGCACTGTTTTCAATTAGAACCTCATCAGGTTTTACTCTAATATATATGTTGTTCTAAATCACAATATGAGAATGTTTCGAAACTAGCTATTCTCCACAAAAGTCTGGTTCAAAATTGAATACATACACTTATTCTCGTTAAATAAATTACATTGTCAGTATGGAGTTGTAGTTATTGTTGAGTTTTTGATTGAGACCATGAATCGATCAATGTTAAATCACCAATGAAAAACTGGAAGCACTGAACGGCCGTTTTGTCTTAGTATGAGACTTCTCAGCAGTGTGCATCCACTATCGTACTCGCGGGATCCGAACCCAGGACCTTTGGTTTCTCACGGGGACGCTTGATCTCTAGATTACTGAGCTGGCATCCAACTGTGTTAATGTCTGATTTCAACCAATCCATGATATTGCGCGACCATCTTCCATTGTCTTTGGTGGGTAACTGCCTCATACCCGACACGGGTTAGCCCCATTAGTCACGGTTTCTCACTAAAACTCCGAGGATTTCCGCTCGAAGCTAGTCACTAGTGAGCACATGGTGGTCTAACATTGGTCGACTCATGATCTCAATCAAGTTACGTTTCTTTGGTTTTAATTGGCAAATTTCTAATAAACTCACGTTGAAATTAGTATTTTCGAACATATTTTGTTTGCTTTTGAAAAGTAGTGTTTCACTCCAGAAATCAGTCGGTGAACTTTGAATTTCACGGGATACAACCTGAGAGCATGTATTCTTTGATTTGTTATATTGAGAACTACAGTTACAGGTGTAATTAGAATTTACCACTGGTACGGATTGACAGAAGATGGTTCTAAGAGAAGTACTCATCCACGTTAATAGCCACTGAATAAGACCGGGTGATTGGGAAACTTTTAGTAGCATTCCAATCTTTTTTGTCTTACTCAAACTCTCTTAAGTAGTTGTATGACATCCTGAATGTTAACTCTAAAAATATTAATTGACGTGTTACAATTATTTTGTATCAGAATCCACAGTATTTTAATCGGTAATCCTTATCTACTGTCCCATTTCCAGTAGTTCGGCTAAGAGTTCTCACGGTGGTAGGCGTAAACATAAGAAATCTCGAACTTTGAGGCAGCCAATGAGTGAGTAAGTTGAGGTACCTCAATTTTTACTGTTCAGGAACCAGATTATCAAGACTTAAAAAGTCTTGTTACTGTTTCTTTTAAAAATATGACATGGTTTTTTTATGCGGCTTAGTGCAACCAAACTCTTGTATTTAATTTTAAGGAGTTATTTTCAACTAATGGAAAGCTCGTCAGCCCTTATGAATTGGTGGTTAGCGAAATTCCAACATGAATACAAAAATCCTTTACCTAGAGATCATTTAAGATATTTACTCACGTTTCGTAGAATATGTGAACCGCAGGTTGACTATATGTCTATTTGCATTTTTGTAATTGATAGAGTATGAGAAGCAGAAATACTGAAAGTACTAAAGAAATTTCTATTTTTCACATTGCAAATATTCACACTAATAGTTGGCATGTGTTCCTGAAACGCATACAAGGTGTATGATTATATGACTGTGATTGTCAGTCCATTGTAGAAGTAAATAAGTTTAACACATTTATGACGCATGTCTTCAAATCATTGACCATCATCTACCAATTAATTTTGATTTGACTACCATGTTATTGCTTGATATTAAGTATGTGACTCAATTCAGTTGGTGATGTATTTCAGGTAGAACTATGATTATAGAGAGCTTATCAATGTGAATGATATTTGAAGTTTTTGTATTCCATAGGAGCATATATTTCCTTGTATATCATGGCTGACTTGAAAATTTGTTTTTGCTCGTTTTATTTGCCGTCGTCCATATGTACATGTTCCTTGTCGTTTTCATATTGTTCATCACTTTCGTAGATCCCAAGAAACTCAAGAGAGTGGAGATCGTAAAGTATCTTCAGTTCAACCAAATGTACAAGAGTAAGTCCCTGAGTATTCCAATATGAATGGGCAAATGTGTGAGTATATGTTTTTTGATTATGTGGCTGTAATTAGTGCTATCTGTTAATGAAGGTTCTTTGGAACTGATAGGAAGATAATTTGATTGGAGTTTTCGGAGGGTATATTGATTGACTATCTGTGTTGTAAATAGGTGCTCACTGACTGATTATTTATTCGTTTCTAGACAAAGAGAATATAAGGGATCTATGTGTTTATTTTTCAAAACCTTATATGCAATGACTGCAAGCATTGTTGTTGTAGGTGAATAAATATGTACGCGTGATAGAGGGATCCGGGCTGTTTGATTTTTAGCTAACTGCTCCGGTGTTTTTAACAGAAACTAAGCAGAAATTGTTGTGGTTTTGGATATTTTTGATGAGAGTGCTGGATTATTTGCAGAATGATGGGGAGAATATTTTGAAAATTTTATCTGTTGTCCAGTTACGTTTCACGCTCCAACTATCGAGTTACAGTTCTGATCAGGTATGTACGTTGAATTATTTGTATGATGTTGATTTTTGCTTTGTTAGTTAGCAAAACTTTTTATATATGATTTGGATATATTGAATTGGTTTTAAGATTTGATTTTCTGTTATTCAGGGCTCCTGTTTCATCGTTGTTTGGTGATGAATCTTCTGCAATTGATGTTTCTTCGACGTCAAAACTAACAAGTCCACCTTCCAAACCCGCGAGACAGAAAAAGAAGCATCCAAAAGCAATAGAAACGTAAGTGCTGTGGTTTGCTGTAGATCGCATTTTGTTGTAATTCGCAAGCTTTCTTTATATTTCTGATCGGTTCTTACTTTTCGTTTCAGTGTTCATCTTTCTGAAGATTTCTCTAAGTGAGTTATTTTTATCAATATTCACCATATTTGTTTTATTTGGAAAAAGTATGGTCGGTTTTTACTTGCGTGAAACACGTTATCTTATCTTGTGTATTTTAAGAATGAATATCAAAAGACTTTCAATACCTAATCGACCGGATGGAGGGGGACATTCGGGCAAAGAAATGTATGTGACTGTTAATTGTTGGGATTTTTCGATAAAGCCCAAAATTGTTTACATGTATCGAGCAGAAGCTCTCGCTGTATATCGTGGTGATGAAGGAAACAGGACTGAAATACGAATGTCTGCTAAGGATAAACGTGCTCTAATTAAACAGGTGGCTGATAGGTAAGTATTTTTCAGATACACTTCATGGTATATTATCATTTCATTTATTTTGTAGTTTACTGGTCATGTATATTGAATTTTATTTGTTTGAGCAAGAACGATTTGACTGGGGACATCACACTTGAGTGACTAATACTCTTTCAAACCTTATCACCTACGAATGTTTTAGCTTACACATACACTCATTTTCGAAGTAGAACTTTTCCTTTTACCAACTAGTATTTGTAACTTTCCTTGCTGACTAATTAAAATGAGTGGAGTGGCATTTCCCAACTATGTATGACTATTCCTCGTTTGTAAAATTGGTATGCCTGAATTAGACTCTAAAGAATCACATGAGAAAGCCTAAGAGCTATCAACCATTTTAGGTTAAATTCTTTCATTGTTTAAACGAAGACGGATGTGACGAAAATGACCCTAATATTTGTAAAATTCTAGGAAAACTGTCAATAATCGATTACTGTGTAAAATGACCGATTCGAACAAGTGAACAACTTCAAATATTTGGATTTACCAGTTGCATGACGTGATGAAAGAACACTTGAATTTGAACCGACTGTTTGTGATTGATTTTCATAACAAAATAAAGGATTTTAAAAGAAACACATCAATATAGATTGACAATAAAACTATTTTTTGCTTGACGGATAATACCCATACTAAATTTGAAGATTTTCTTGATGAGCACCATGTTTTATATCTAAACTGTGGGTTTATATGTATAAATATTCTGTACTTGCTCTCAAAATATTTACCTGTTTATCGCAATGATGTCGTTGAACCGTTATGCATGAAGTAAAAAGTATGTTCAACTACTTTTTATAACACATATTGCATTATCCTTAAACTACGTGTTTCTGTCACTTGTTTCTACTAAGATGGTATAAAACTTATAAAACGGTCCTATTGTCGTGTTTAAGTACTTTCTGTGCGGTCTATATAGAATTTCCAGAAAAAGTAATTTATCTTCACTTCTCTCTTCACACATTTTTACTATAATAGTCAGGCATGTTTCGTTTGGTATCATACATGTACCAATAACAAAAAGTAAATCTCTCCGATAAGAAGAATATCATCCAGTATCGTTTTATAGGTGAACCTGTGACAAATCTTTATGACTTGTCTATGGATTTCTTCTTTAAATTTGATATTCACATTCATGGAAGATTTCTGAAAACTTTGTTCCCGGTGGTTCTTGGAATTTTGATGTCTGCGTTGCCTAATTCTGAAGTTGATGGTTTTCTTTGACTTACTAATTTGTGAAATCTTAGTGGACAGTCTCATTATCGGTCTTGGTAACAATTTGATTTTGTTGGTGTTTCTACTTAAGACAACAGTATATGGTTGCTCTCTCTATGTTTACATAGTTTACACGACTGTATAATTTACGATGGTGGCCATGACATATACTCGGCAGATCGTTTGCCAGGGATCGGAAAAGTTCCTACTGAGACAGAAATGAAAATTGTTGATCCACTTGGTCGAGATAATCTTATTCTAAAATATCACTTGATGGAAGTACAGACGGTGTCAACTGACGATGTACAACAATACGTAGAAAACCCAAAAGCAACATCGTTAAACATTCCCCAAGTAATGTTCATGTTTTATAATCATCCTTTCTAGGAATCCATAAGATTGTTAGATTGTATATTAAGAACTGTGTCGAAGCAGTCGTTAATATCTCTTGGAAGATCTGCTTTATTTTACGAAAAGCCAGTGAAAGTCATTGCAGATAAGCTACTGAGTATCCACAGAGGTTTTATCGCTAGCATTAGACCTCAATGGAAGGTCCGTATGAATATAGACATGGTATTTCTTGAGATTTCTAATTTGCTTGTTTTTGAAGACCTACAAGGCTTTTTTCACAGCTGGTAACCTAGCAGATGTTATGTACGAAAAGTATGGAGACAATATGGCCAGATGTAGCTCACAAATGGCTAACGATTTAAGAAGAATACGTGTTGAGACTGACAAGTTTTACAAAAGTGACAATGGTATGTGGCTTTTTTATTTACTCTAATAAAAAACTATTCAAGGACATGCGTATTCTAGACGTCTCACTGTGCATGGAATATCTTCTGTGCCAGCCGACAAGCTTATGATCGAGGAGAGAAAGCAGTCGGTTGCTGCGTACTTTGATGAACATCACCATATCAAGTTAAAATATCCTGATCTTCCGTGCATAAAGGTAATGTGCATTTAGTGTTTCATTCCTTAGGTTGATCAAAAACGAGAGGTTTATATGCCGATGGAATTGCTAAACATTCTTCCTTTTCAAGCACCTAACGCGAGCAAGGCTGATGTGGCTAGTGAGGTTATCCGTTGTGCAGCAGTACGTCCTCAAGAACGTTTTCGAGAACTTATGGATTTCACTAATTCGATTTCAAAGTAACTGTATTTCTGTATTTCGATTTTATTTGCACGGTAAATGATAATAATGCGTTAAAGTTTTGAATATGTTCTATCTCGTTTTCCTTATCAGTTAAAGCGTTAGATGTGATGTGCGATTGGTTACTAACAAACTGAATTGTAGGCCCCATTATATCTTAATTAAAAAGTCATTTTCCAATTCAACACAACTTAGTAGTGCTTCTCCAGAAATGCGAATTCCAAATGTGGGTAATGTGGGAGGAGATGAAAACTTTTCGGAGGTGATTTACGAAGTTTAGTCTACTGGAGATGAAACCCTTGATTTGTGTTTCGGCGCTTATCATCAAGACCTACTTCCAATCTTGAGAAGATTAATCAGTCCTACGTGATTCTCATTCTGGTGCGTTACCACTGACGTTCTGTTGGATTGAGACATTTATACTGACTTATCACTGAGTATTAAATAGTGTCATCTCTGTCTAGCTGTTTAGTGCTGACTGAATCCTATCGGTCAGGTTTAAGTCTAGGCCTTCGTGTAAATGACTCGGGGGTCGTATGCGCTGTGCTTAGCTGGCTGTTTGGATACAGTGTTGTTAGCTACTTTTTCAAGTTTGTAATTTACATAAGTACGTGATTCGAATTTGGATATGGGCATCTAAAGAGTTCCAAAAATAGTCGACTTTTGTAAAGATTTTCCCGTAGACAAGTAGCATGAGCTAAATATTCATGGAAATTGATGTGGGTTGTTGTTTGCTTTCGGTGTATTTTTTAAAGTACTTGAACAAGATCGTTGAGTAACACAAATGAGTAGACGAATAAAATTTTGTTTATCAGTCACTGGGTGCCATAAATCTTGACAGTGGTGTTTCTCAAATTAACTTAATTATATTTATTTATTTCTATCTTAAGGGCACATCGACTATTTCAGTTGTTTCAAGTAAAGATAGCAAACAAACCTGTAGATGTAAAGTCACGTGTACTCCAGCCACCTAAAGCAGTTTTTAATCGTCCAGATAAAATCCAACTGAAGGCTGGAAGTTGGAATACTCCAGATTTTCATGAACCGGCTAAACGTGGTGTTGCAATTCCATGGGGAATACTTTGTGTTCCAAACAACCCAGTATGTTTGAGATTTTGGTTTTCCTTATTGTATTGATATTTTTAAGTTTTATGGATGATTTGTTCGTTGTTGATGCTATTGGTGTTCGGTAACGTATTGAAATAATTGCCGACTGATGATTACAAGGTTAAGGTTTCTAAATAAATGAATCTTCTTCATAACAATAAACGGCCAACACGGATATAATGAACATTAGATGATAGTGTAAGATTCTAAATGACAGTATTGTATAGGATCTCAAGTAGCTTGTCAAAATTAGATATCACCAACCAATAAGAATCAGTATTGGATCACTGTAAAATAGATCGATGGACATCTCGAACATAGAGTTTCGAATGGATGTGTTTTGGCCTATGTTGCTATGCCTGATTGGCATGACGAATGAAATAATGTAGTAAAAATAATGCAAAAAGACTTAAGCTTGGGAATATGATTTAAAACAACAGTGAGAATGTATGTATGAAGGAATAGTCACTTGACAGCACTTGTATAGAAACGATCAAGATAACTATGATATTATACTACTTTTCAGTTCAACCGCTTAATATCAAATAAACATATTGCAATGTTAAATAGAAATCTAGTAGTTGGATTGCATTTCGATCGGTCACCGACATGTCGAATTCTGGGAAATTATTAAAGACTAGACAACGTGACATTGTTTACTACTACTTTTCAACTAAGGATAGGGAGTAAAGTGGTCGAACGCGTCGACAACTTCACTTATCTCGGAAGTCTGATTAGCCCTAATGGGTTGTCTGACAAAATCTCATCATGGATTCAAAATGCTCATTTGACTTTTGCCAACTTACGTCACCTATAGTGAAGGCGAGATATCCGTCTATCAATTAAGGGACGAGTATACTGCTCAGCACTTCGTTATGTTCTACTTTACGGCTGCGAAACGTGGCCATTAAGAGTAGAAGATACCCGTAAGCGACTTAGAAATATTACTCACATCTGCTGGGTTCACCGTGTAAGTAATAGTGAGGTTAGACACAGGGTATTAGGGGATGATGGTAAATCAATTGACGTGGTTGTGAATTTTCATCTACTGAGATTGTTGGGTCACTTGTCAGGTATGCATGAACACCGCTTACCACGACGCGCAATGCTGACTAGTGTTGGAAGAAAGTTAGGAGCGGCCAAACCAAAACATGGCATCAGTCCTTGAAGTAACTAACTTCTAGTCTTAGCCATGTTGGTAGATGTAGACTACTTGGTTTGGGTCTGCGCGACTATCGTAACCAATGGTTGGAGCCTCTTGTTGACATGGCTCAGAATCGATCACAATGGCGTCGGTGTATAAGCTCTGTCTTCCCTTTAACTATTTGTTATAACTTGTGACCTGTGCGCTCTGTTAATGTATGACGTAACGACACCGCCAATTAAAGAGCAGTGAATTATCGATCGGACCAATGACGCGTAAACCCGTACGATCAGTCTAGAGTACTTATCGGTCCTGATTCCTGCCTAGTCCAGCCAGTTAGGTCCAGAGCACCAATCTCAGCCTCTGCAATATAAATCGTTTATTTCAAACATACTGGTTTTATATACCAACCAGACAGACCACATCGTACCATAAAATAGGAAACAACATTTGTACAAGATTTAGCTGGAAGTGGCTGTGAGTGTGGGAGGTAGTAATTAATAGACAGGGCATAATTCAAGAATGGTAAGTTGTACAATAATAGTTCATAGGTCAAATAAGGCTCATAATAAGAGGGACATGGATATATATAGTTTAGTTATTTAACAATCATACGATAAAAATATGCATAGTATTTGTCCATAAATGGATCCCAAAAGTTACCATTCATTATGCTTATCGGGACATAACACAATTGTATTAAAATTGCTTTATATCTTTTTTTCTTCGTGTACTATATCCTTATATGCAATATTTCTTTTATATACTACCGCCACTGAATTAACAACTTCTATGGGTTCGATGTTCATCTTGTTTTGCTAATGAGATATGGCAACTTGGACCGATGCATATATGTGCCTGGTCCTACATTGTAGCTGACTGACTACTTTCCGACCAAGTAGTGTGCGTAGAAAGTACCTTATAAACACATATGGATTTTTGTTTCCTTATTGAAGTAAAACAAATGTGAACATCAAACAATCACTTCTCATTAACAGCGAAATAATGTTTGTTAAAGGGAGAATTTTTCATTTAACCACGTCAAAGTGTGAAAGAAACTCTTTTAAAAAAGCGATGGCCTTGCCTTGTCGTTTTGATGACAGTTACATGGAAACTGACTAAAAAACATTATTGCTTGAAGTATATATGATCCTTTACTTCATCAGTGTGTAATTCTTTTTATGCTATTTTTCAATCTCTTTGTAATATTTTGTTCTTGATTTTTATTGTAGCGATCTAGAGGCGACGTGGAAAAAGTCACAGACGAATTACCGAAGGCCGCTAACCGTTTCGGTGTTTCCTTCAGCAATAAACCATTTATATCACAATGCTCCCTTAACCAACTTGAAAAAAAGTTTGAGGAATTTCATCGACAAGTAGTGAACCTAATTTCAGGGAGTTGGTTTTGATTTCTGTAGCAGTTACTAACAAATTCGAATTTTTCCAGGGTTGTAACTTCATTCTGTTGATTCTGTACGATGATTTGGCTTACGGAACAATCAAACGTTTAAGTGATTTGAGAATGGGTATCCGCACACAGTGTGTTCGTGGTAGCACTCTACGCAAACCTAATGTGTTTCGTAAGTATCTTTCATTCATTCATATTCGTTTGTTTCAATTTTTAAAACGAATGGACTAATTCAGTCTGTTTTGTTTTAGCCAACCTATTATTGAAACTCAATGGGAAACTTGGTGGTGTTAATTGGATTGTCCCAGATCTTATCGAGAACAGTCAGGATTTAATAATGGTTTTCGGTGCTGATGTTACTCATCCAGCACCGACACAATCTCATCAGGTTCTCAAGTCAGTTGCTGCTGTTGTTGGATCTGTCAGTCCTGAGTTAATGCGATACGGGGCTGTAGTTAGACAACAAGCAACTACTGAGCGAGGAAACAAAACAACAAGAGAAATTATTGATAACTTGCATCTGTCAGTTGGAGAACTGCTCACGGTTAGTCCCTTTAAATTCAATGCTATGTACTCTCTGTTACTACTGTGAAGTATTATTTTTCTCTACTTCTTTATTTCTTTCGCAACAACATTATAATTCGGGAACATTTATATTTATACTATAGCTGTATTTGCGGAATACAAAGGGACGTTTTCCTAAACGTATTATATTCTATCGCGACGGTGTCTCAGAGGGTCAGTTTGAAAATGTTTTGGTCGAGGAGTTGTCTGCCATTCAAAAAGCTTGCACTGATATTCGTCCTGGTGAAGAACCTGCTATTACATTTATCGTTGTCCAGAAGCGACACCATATCCGTTTCAAACCACATGATCCCAGGTAATTAGACGAAATTTTACTGCTCGTAGCTATGATGAAATGTTTAGATATTCGATACAGTTTTTATTTTCAGACATGTTAGATGTTTCTTCAGGACCATATCTCGCATTTTCATTTTGACAGGGCACGGAATGTGGAACCAGGGACTGTCGTGGATACAGATATTACTCATCGTAGAGAGTTCGATTTCTATATTTGTTCTCATGAAGGGATTCAGGTAACTAGTTTCTCTTTGTTGATGATTATTTCTTCCAGGGAACATCAAAACCGGCCCACTATCATGTATTATATGATGACAGTAACTTTACATCGGACGCTCTTCAAATGTTTACGTACCACTTATGTTATGCTTATATGCGGTGCTCTCGTAGTGTCTCTTACCCTGCTCCGGTGTATTATTCTCATTTAGCTGCGTTTCGTGCACGAGATTGGCTATCAAACACGAACGAAGCAAGTGTTTTGCTTGATGGTTATGATCGCTTCAAAGTTCACATATCACAAACTGATGGGATGTTTTTCTTGTAAAGTTTCGTTAATTCATTATTTCGGAGAAAACTTTCTATTTTAATATAGACCATTACGTTTAATAAACAAATTAACGATAAATATAATTGTACAGTTCTTGTTAATGAAGTCGTCGAAAAGGAAATTTTCCCCGTTAAATTCTCTTATTTATTCATTTCATCATTTATTCGAAATAAATTGCATTTATAATGGTTTATGTTGGTTTTAACTTGAGCGATTGGATATATTTTATAACTCGTTATCCCATTCAATTTGGCTCTCAATAATAGACTTTAAATTTGTTGTTAGTCCAACTACTTGATGCAGTGAAGGTTACGAGTTTCTGATTACATAACTACATATGGTTTGTTTTTCTATGGTGTGTACTTATTATATCATACGATATTGTCAGGTAGTTGAAGGCATTGTCACAAAGTTTCTTAACAATACAACAATAGGGAACATATACACAATTTACTATTCACAAATATTGAGGAGTAAAAAATGGTTGATCTAAAAAAGGCAAATAATGCAATAAAATAGGCAGCTGATAAAGTTTTTTTTGTTTTTAGCTGTGAGAGATCGGTATACACGCTGATCAGTGTATTTGTATTGGAGCGTAGTTTAGTTGCTCATAAAAAAGTGTTTTAATAAGACTTGTATTGTAGGAGATTGGGCCAAAGTATTGAAATGGAGATAATGATGAGCCTTGGAAGATTTATGGTAAATAGGACGTTAAAGTGAATCATCCTCATTTCTTGTGATCCACAAAAGTTGTTCTATCCTGTAAATGATGTGTTTTAGTTGTACTGAAATTAGAAATTAATCTTCATGGTCCCAGTTGTCACATACGATAAAAGCATCATCATAAAATTTGCAATCTTGATATGAGGCTTTGAAATTTAGTTTTTTTAAAAAAAAATAAATATCAGAAAATTCCATCAAATACTTTTCTAGATTCATCCGAAAACTTGTTTGTTCAACAGATTTAGATAGTTCTTATATTATTTACAAACAGTTTGTTCAGTTCTACTCCACTCGAGATGTTGGATAGTGTTATGCAACATAATGAGTTTAAACTACTCTCATATAGTTTACAACATATCAAAGTAAGCTCACTTCATGTCATATTGTTTGCTTCTATTTTGTAAAATACTAATAAACCAGTATCGAGGATGGTATATGTTGGAATATTCAGAAAAATATCCCCAAAATTATCCTGTTAAGTCTAATGCTATCCTTGAACGTGAAATCGTGTCATTTTCCTATTGATCAATATTTATTTCACGGGTTGTTTCCCTACTGGTCAATATTTATTTCACGTGTCATTTCCCTATTGGTCAATATTTATTTCGCGTGTCATTTCCCTGTTGGTCAATATTCACGGTAGTCCTAACTGTATAAATATGCATCTGTCTATAAATTCTTATTCTTCTTCTCCTGACACCACAAACAATTTCCATCTAATGGTTCGTGGAACAGTATTGGGGTCGTACTGGGATATCTGAAGTTGGTCAATCGGTAGAATTTAGAGTAGCCACCCCGCGGTTCACAATAGTATACTTATAAGTTGTTATATTTTACTGCAGAACAAGTGAAAATGTGAAATATTAACCTTATTTTATTGATTAACAGTAGGTCATTATTTATGTATCTGTATAGATGAATAACTTTGCGTAGTATAGCAGATTCACGACAAACGAGTGGTAAACTTTCAAATGATTAGTTTCTATATTTTGCTTGAAAAATGGTAATTTATAATGGAAGACCTATGTTTGTTGGGTCGTGATATTAAATCCGTAAGCAGACTTACATTACATCCCGTCTTTGATTTTAAATCAAACTCCGATAGTTTCCTGTATTTAATTTAGTTTTTTAAAAAAACTCACATTGGCGTCAGTTACAATTGGATATTTAAATACTTTTTTAAAACAACCGAAAAGCACACTTTTGGAGTAGGTAATATGGGACTACTAAATTGGTCTACGGTTAACTGGATACACAAACTATGACATTTTAGTAAACATGAAAATAAGAGTACTTCATTGACCGAATATGTTTGTATATTCTTATCATATAAGTAATCTACAAGAAGGCAAACAAATATAAAGTAATTCTAATAATATCAATTTACAAAATCCTAACATTGTGTCGAACACCACCAGAAATGATATAACCAACTCAAGCTTATACGAATTTCTATCCTTTTATTAAACAAATCGTTTTTTTCATTTTATAGATGTTAAAGTACATTTTACAAATTTTATTTATGTCTCTATGAGCGTAGTGGGAAAAGGATTAATAAACAATACTAACTGATACAGTGGGAATAAGTTAGAGAATCAGGTCTTAATTTCACTACCACTTGAGTAATTTATAATAGAACCCGTCTTTTCAAATCATTCAGATTTCGAAGGACTGATTGTGTTTGTTTTCGCGTTCGTCGCTTTGTACATAATAAGCCTATCATTTCACTAGAGTATATAAACTTATGTTTCCCAGTCGTGTCTGTCTTTTGCCATCAGTTCATGTGACGAGGAAGCTCTAAAAGATGTGGAAACTTTCACGTACCTGGGCAGAAACATCGATGAATAAGGAGGATCTCATACAGACGTAAGGGCAAGAATTGGCAAAGCAAGGGCAGCATTCGTACGGTTGAAGAACATATGGAACTCAAAACAATTATCCGAAAGCCAATCTCTATGTCGGAATCGTCAATACGAATATCAAGACAGTTCTATTGTGCGAAGGTGTAACTTGGAGAACTACCACAACCACCATCAAAAAGTACAATTATTTATAAACAATTGTCTACACAAGATATTGGCACCAATGAAATATTTATCGTAGTTGACTTTTTATGTGCTCTGTCGACTTAACACTTAGGACAACGTTAAATTAAAAGTCGAATACGAAAGTAATTCCCGACGTTCATTAATGCATACGAACGATAAGCTATAAGGATCAGAGAAGGAATACAATCCTATTCAATATAATTGAACACAACATGTGGCTCACTGTAAGACACAAGCAGGAGTATAGATACATACATACTACCATACACGCATGCTCATGGGCATAAATGACAGAATGACTGGAAAATTATAATGACTCATCTGTCCAAAAGTTAGGATAAACACGTAGGTGTGAAATAAACTAAGATCTTTTAGTCTATCGATCAGCATTTCGCCCCTTATTATCATGTTGACAACCCTAAATATGTTCATCGTCAAAAATCTTCAACCCTCTAGAACACAATTAAATTTGTTCCGCTTATTTTTCTACTTATAAATTAGTTTAAAGTAAACAATTTTAAAGAAAGTAAACTGAATTACAATGAAAAGGAGTATCGAGAAGTAATGATGAGAATTAAGCGATGCTTTCTGGTAAATAATTAGTTCACTGAAAGTTTTTACATGTCTTTTGGACTTTCCGACTTTTCCGAAAATAACTTTAACAGAATAACGTGCATCTGTTTTTTGTGTATTACACAAGGGATTATAAGTTTGAAAAATTAATTATCTGATACATTCCTCAAAGAATGGTTGACAGGGGGAAAATATTTAACGATACTACTTAACCGCTTCACATTCTTATTATCTGTTGAATGTATTTCACTGACTAAACGGTCTGAAGAGTTTAAACTGTACAATTCAAGTTGATTGTTTATTCACTAGGTATAAAAGTTGTCAGTTTTGAGGATGAGGTGATCTTAGCCTTTACATACTTCATGATAATTACTAGTCAGGATTTATAAAAAGCTAAGAACAAGAAAATATTTCTCCAGTATGTTGGTTCGGGATGTATGCATCACGTATATTTATCCGAAGACCGTGTATTCTCAGTCCTTGACCTAATTGCCAAGTGCCAGGATGGAGACAACACAGTAGTCGATTAGATCTTCATGAACTGTCGTATGTATGCTTTTGCATTTTAAGGTTTTTCCAGAGTTTGAAGTGGGGTGGGGAAAGCTGTCGTTTCGTTATTTATACCTATGGTACAACCGGCTGATGTAAAGATGTAATATTTAATTAGTTCTGTCGCCAACTAAATGACCTCAGTGAAAGCTCATTGTGTGGATGACCTATGAGAACTTGCCGATCTCAGGTTGAACAGGCCACAGGTACAAAAATCATCCCTCAAGCTTGTAATCAAATAGATCATACCGCAATCTGTTGTTGGTGTTGAGGTTGTGGGAGATAATACTGCTCTCTTTCAGGTACCTATCTGGATTCTGAATATCTTGTAGTAAGTGGCGAACCCATCATGGATTATGCAAATTAGGAACCAATCACCCTTAATACATTGATGTAAGCCAATCGACTTCAGCTACCATTGCAACCAAATATAGTACGGCGTTGTGTTCAAGACTATCTGTGTCTATCCTCTTGAAAGTATAAATGGTCAGTAGTTACACTTAAAAATGCGTGTTCAATTACATGCATCTTGTATTAAGCCTATTCCACTACTGTATTATTTATCTGCTCACTGTAATTTAAACACTTAATCCATCATGTAGTTTTCTGTGTGAATCTGATTGAGCACATTTCTGCACACCAATCTTTAATCTATTCTCCCATTGGTCGTAATACACAGACAATCAATAATTTATCCATACTTGATTAGCACTCATAAATATATATGGATTTTTAACACACACACACACTCTTGGTTTCCCTGTGTGCTTGCTTCCTTTACGCTTGCGGATTTTACCAATCTTTAACAATAAACTATCTCTATAACTGGTGTTCAGGCTTTTGAATAATCTCGAGTAAGTCCATAATTCTACTAGGAGATTTAGCCTGTATTAAATACTCAGTTAACGGGATACTATTTACAGGAGTCAGATATAGAGGATACTAGCTCTACAAAGTTGGTGACCCGCATTTAGAACGCGCACTATTTCTCTACAATCTTTTTGTAACGTTTTGCTTATAAATACGGTTTATTAAGTCTCTATACATTCCCTTGTTAACCAATGGATTATGCGTACCATTAATAAAGTAGGTAGCTTAAACGTGAGATATTAAAAGCATACGTTTAAACCGCAGAATCTGATGAATATGGACTGCTATTGAGTTGGAAGCATAAGATGCATCTAGCAAATATTCCGAGCTATTATCACTAATCTGGTTTCAGTAATACAATTTTTGGGGTCAAAGACTATTTCATTAGCACAATTTGGACACTAGATTAGGATAGTGGATAGTTCAAC